TTTACCTCGTTCTTAATTTCCCTTCTCGCCTTTTTCCTTTCATAGATTTTTTTTCTTTTTTCCATTCTTTCATTTTTCAGTTTTCTCATTTCAATTTTCTTTACTTTCTCTCTCAAATTGTTTCTTAATTTCTTTCTTCTAATATCGTTTTTATTTTCTGTCCATTGTTTTGATATTTGCTAAGCTTTGCACAAAACTATAAATGACGTGGTTGGGAATAGTAAAGATTAAATTCACTACAGTACTAGCCTACGAGATTAGCTTACTGACTAATTGAGCTATACAACTATAGATATTTACTGGACTTAGGTCAGAAGGTTATAAAGAGAGACATGAAGCTTTCAGTGAGGACTGAACTCAACCAGTAGTGGGGAAGATATGCATGATGAAATGTCTAATTTTTGTTCTACGGCGTAGCGTTTTTCTTTCATTCTTTCTGTTTTCACATTTTCTTCCTCTCTTTTTTTTTTAAATTTTCCTTCTTTCCATTTTCACATTTTCCTTTTTTTCTTTCTTTCCATTTTCACATTTTCTTTCTCTCTTTCTTTCCATTTTCACATTTTCTTTCTCTCTTTTTTTTAAAATTTTCTTTCTTTCCATTTTCACATTTTCTTTCTTCCTTTCCATTTTCGCATTTTCTTTGTGTTTTCACATTTTCTCTCTTTGTGTTTTCACATTTTCTTTCTTTCTGTTTTTTTTTGGGGGGGCTTCTCTTCATTTTCATCCTTCTTTCTATGTTCGCTCTTTTCTTTCTTTTTACTATCTAGACTTCTTTTACTTTTATTATATTCTTCTTTTATTTTTTTTTTTTACTCTCCTTTGATCTGTCAGCCTCATCTTTATCCACCTTCTCATTTTTTTCTCTCCTCCTTTTCCTGTTACCTCCTTCCACGGCAAAGAAAAGAAAGAGGAAAAAAGAAACAAAAAAAACTCATCATACTATGCATCATACCATTAATTTAACCATAATCTCTTTGGTGGTGAACTGAATGACCGCTTTCCTCTGCAAGTCACGTTTGACGGATCCCAAACATAACAAAAACAAACGGAAATTCAAACTGGGTTAAAAGAACCAAATTCACAGAAATCAGATTTTACTAAATTATTTTACCAAATGTCTGACAATAAAGCAGTGCGAAGTGCTTAATTTTAATTGTTAAACCATTTGCTGATTTTACTGAGAGAAAAAGTACTGCACCAGTTAGAAGTAAGAAGGCTTTATTTTCAGAATTCAGTTATAACAGACTCACCTGATCTCTATTTTCTTTCCAGCTTAAATATATGGAGGTTTTAAGGTCGGAAATTGAATTGTTTTATATAATTTCTTCGGTAAACTTTTGTATTGTGATATCTGTAAGAATCTTTTTATTCTGCACTCACTCTGTGTCTGTTTTGTATTTTTCATTTTTATTACGTATTTAATTTTAAAATGCAATCATTGCGTACATGTAGAAAATACAAGAATAAGGTGTTTTATCTGAAAGGTTCAAATTGTTTCATCTTCTTCTCTCTAAGTCGTTGACTCATTTTTTATTAACAAAAAATATTAAAATTGAACAAAATGAACTTTAATAGTACCATGCTACACAATTTAAAATGAAAATAAAAAATACTTTACTAAAATATGCTTTATTTATAATAAATTCCTAATTGGATTATATTGCATAATGAAATTAAACTAGATTACATAATGAAAGGTGATCTCTTCAAAGGTAGTGAAGCCGTACATAGCTTTAAGACAAATAAGAGTCATGATAACTTTATTTATTCACTTGTTTTATATGCCTTGTGTCGAATTACCTATTGATATCAGGATAAAATATTTACTTGCGTTACAGCTCCTTGCGTCACAACAGGAATCAATATACCTTAATTTATTGAGACTATTGTTCAGATCTTTTTATAACTATCCGCAAAACATTTTTTTAATCAGTTCGCCCTAAACAAGGTGATAATGCCACTAGACCGCAGGGGGGGTACAGGGGGTGAATGAGAAGGAGAAAACTTTAGTGAGGAAAAAAGGACAATGAAGGAACAGGATTTAGGAAGACGGAAGATGACAATGGACGTTGTATTTAAAATTTGGAAGATTGTAAGCGGCAAGGAAGCAAGAAATCGGAAGGGAGTTCCACAGGTGAGAAGTGCGAGAAAATAAACTATTAGAATAGAACTGATGGTTGCATCAAACTAGTACAACACTAAAATGTTGAAACATTGTTGTCAATCTAGTAGCTCGCTTAAATTCATGAAGATAAGGCATTAAGGGAAAAAAAGCTCATCAGAACAGTTGCGATGGAAATATTTGAAGAAAAGACAGAGGGAATTCACCTCACGGTGGTAAGAAAGTGACTGAAATCGAGATGCCGAGTTAGGATCGATTATATTGCAGATCTTCTTTGAATTTTGTCAGGAATCTCGAACCCACTCTTAATATTGTGCGTAACACAGATGATTCCGCATTTTAGATAGGATTTTCCTCTTTGTACTATTATTAGTCATTTTTCTATTTAACTCCCAACGAATTTGTTCAGGTTTCAAATTTTTATTTGTCAGTTTTAATATCATTTTATAACTTATTTTCTACCTCGTAGCTGAGGTGGTTGTGAATTTTCTTCAAGTCCTAGTTTCTGGTATCTAAGTCCAGGTAGAAAGTTAGGATTTCGAAAGCGGTTTTTTTAAAGGCAGATTTTCTTTTAGACTGGGGCAAGATTCCTTATATGCCTATTTTCTTCTATTTGGTTATATGCTCGATTAAGTTAAGGCAAATAAATATGAATATCATTTACTCTTCTGGTTTATATTGCCATAGTTATTGTTCCAACGTTTTTATCATTTTATATTCATTTTCAAGGATTAGAATTTGCACTAAAGAAAATCACCATAGAGTCTGACACGTGGATGCGATAGTGACATATTTTCCACTAGCCAAAGTTGTCGATGTTTGATTAAAATAAAGTTGCGTGTGTTTATCGTTAAGCCAGGGAAACTCTTTTCGCATAAGAGATTAGCAGATCACAATCTCTGTTCACCTATTCGTTCCCCACTAAAACAATATTAGTATATGTCAATAAAAATGATAAGTCAACAGCGAGAGGAAACTAAATCAGATCAGCTTTTTAAGATAGTTGGAGATTTTTAAATATTTTCTTAAGTTTCTTCAATAGTAATAGTAATGGTAATATCAGTCGTTTCCCTATAAGGAAACATTCGGCTTTCATTGACCGAACCGACAATACTGCCAATACTGCTACTAAAATTTATAAAATAATTCTGTTAAAACAATTTTTCATGAAGATAGCTTTCTCAAGTCCAGTAACTGTTATAGCTCTTTCCAGTGCTGCTGGGAGCTTTCTTCCTAGTATTTTTTAAGTAGTGTGAAAAGTCAACATTTTGTTTATGTCATCACTTTCTCTTCGAGTTACATGAGATTCTGTAGCGCCAGTTCATGAAAAAAGTTCTCGGTTCGATCCACTTCGATCAAAAAATCTGATCAAGCATCAATTTTTCTTTTTTAGAGTTTCTTGATCAGTCCGAGAGTTTTTCAGTGGTATTTCATATTGTGCGAAAGGTAAACTTGTATTTTAACATACCTTTATCACAAAACTTATTTTATTCAATCATCTGACAATTGTTACGCCAGATTATTATGTGTATTATATCACCATTGCTATTTAACTATGCCTTTTGTTTCAAATGTTATGCCCGATACAAGTAAAAAGATTCTCATAATTTTGATCCATTATTTTAGATTACACCATATAACTGACAAAGCTGCCTGAAGAATTTAGGGAAGAAGTAAAGCCATATCTGGCCATGCTACCCGCAAAAGGTTTAAAAATTTTAGATGTGATGACTTGTCCTTTGAAATAATATCGGTTGGTTGATTGATTTTGTTTAGCGGCATATCAACACCTCTATGAGTTACTTAATGTCGAAATCTAAATATTTTTAACACAATTTTACGACTTCAACTAAATATATTTTGAACGCAATTGTATGCCTTCAACTACAGTATTGTTGGTCATTTTGCTATAAAAATGTATTGTTGGTCATTTTTATATAAAACTGTATTGCTGGTCATTTTACTATAAAAATGTATTTTTATACTTTCGAATGTTTTTGTTTAGGGTTAACTATTTTACCATGTCTGGCACCCTAACAGGTGCTGCGACCCCGGGTCAGGGCGGACCTGGGGTTGCAAAATTAAATCCTTACATTTGCTTCGAGTTCAACAGATGACTAAACGCGTTGGCTAAGATAAGTTTTCCTTTTGTCTTTATTCATATTGTCTTTCTACAGATATATTTTTAGTTAGATCTGAATTTTATATATATATATATATATATATATATATATATATATATATATATATATATATATATATAAAAATATATATATATATATTTCTGCGTTTTTCTTTTTTTTTCTTTTTTTGTTGTTGCTTAAATATTTTTCTTTTATATACTATATCCTTTCAAGATGTGAGCAGTCATGGTTCTCTACAATTTCTTATCTTTCTAAGTAACTTGAACTTTGTTCTGCCACCTACTCATTCGTTAACTAGGTTCCTCGTTGTTTTCTCCTACTTCCCTAGTCTTCACTAGGCCCTGTGTGTTCTAAATCCTCAAAACCCTTTTTCCTCATTATGTGTCCCAAATACTTCGGCTATTTCTTTCTGATTGTTCACAGTAGCTTCTTTGTTGTGCTAATTCTACTTTAAACTTCTTACAATAATTACGGCAATTTTTGTAAAATTTTTCAATGGATTCGCCTTTTAAGCTTTATCTACCATTTGCTGGTTATTTAAAGCCAGAAAATATTTTTAGATTTTAAGCATTTTTTTCGATAATAATGGTTTTATAATAGCTAGGGGCAGACGTGGTGGATTCATGCCTTTCCTAAGAGTATTTGCTTGTAAGTGAATATAACGAATACAACGGAAATTGGAACTCGGTTCTTTGATTTCCAATTCCGAACCATTACACCATCTACACATCCGAACTACAACTCTGGGTATTCCCAAGCGGCCACCCATCGAGGTACTGACCAGGATCGACATTGCTTAACTTCGGTGATCGTACGGGAAACGTTGTTCCAACTGTATTTTTCGAGCATCGTGAATTGGATAAATACTATGCGAAAAATATTTTGATCTTTTTTCAAATCAAGGATTTTCTATTAATGGACCACATATGATCTTATTTTTACAAAAGAACCTTCGACTTTAAAACGATTGTTTTGACACATAACAATATCTGCAAAAGCTACGAATAAATTCAGTGCAATTGATATTCATTAAAAGAAGAAAGAATGAAGAAACGTCCATGCTTTTCCTATCTTGATCTTCCTTTGCGCATGCGTTGCGTGTGAATGCAATCGACAGGATGAATTATCTTTACTTGTTCTTTGTCTTATTTCGTTTGTGTTGCGATGCTTTTGTAAGAAATACGAAGAGGAAAGAATAGTATGGGCCCATGTAACAATACTGGATTTCTGCATGTCTGACTTGCGCTAACAATCCCATTATTCCTATAATATTATCAATTGGGTTATTTTGCCAATAGAAGTTCACTGACATTGTATTCATATTTGATAAATATAAGTCTAAACAGAACATATTGATAACTGCTTCTATAGCCATAGCTTGGAAAATGGATGTTTTGCAAAAAGAACCTTTGAAATAAAGTTTAAATCGATCTTCTTTTTTTTCAACTGAGGCTTTCTAAAGAAATACAGATTCAAGCAACAAATAACAGCTAAGTTATTTGTTTGGTTTTTTTTATAGTCAGTTATTATTTGTAACTAACGTCGTCAAATTGAAAAAAAAAAATTTTTTTAATATGAATATTATTTGCAGAGATCTATTGGTGATAAATTAATTTTCTGTTTAATGTTTTTATGCATTTCATATTTTATAAGAAATGTCTTAAGCAATATTTATGGAGCGAGAATATTTTACACCTTTTTATGCAATTTTAATAATGCTATCACAAATTTTTATCTAATCTACTTACTATACTTATTTTTATTTGCTTTATTAGTACCTCATTGCTTGATTAATACTTCATTCTAGTGTTACTTTTCTTTTTAGTAATTTATGCCTTTGACTTATTTTTGACAGTGTTACTTGTAATTTCCCGCGTTCCGTAACCCATTATGGTCGTAAGGGCAGCACATCTACTTCAGCCAGCGCGGCAGTGATGTGTCGAGAGCAAGATAGCCGGTCGAAGTCCATCCATCTTCAGGCTATTTTTGAATCCAAAGTTTTCCTCCCAGACTGGTTGCCACCTCAAGACAAGAGAACAGTCTGTCCTGCTTTTTAACCCATAGATGGGCGAGGATGGGTTCATGCCTTTTTTAGAGCGAACTGAATAAAACGGAACTGAGCAGAATATCATAAAAGCATTTAAAAGCTTTTCTAATTAAATAATGTCTTAGTTTTAATGGATTTTTTTATTTTACGATTCACAGCACATTTTCTGCAACTGGGTCGCATGTTTTATAAAAAGAAATTGGTAATTTAAAGGACTTCTACTGAGAACTAATATGAATATTAATCGGTAGAAAATGAATTTCTTTAAAATTCATAAAATTAGTGGGGGCAACAGATGCAAAAAATACTTTTAATAAGATTTTCTAAAAAAAGAAAGGTTTCTAAAATAATTTAATTCATTTGTGATTAAGTCTTGAAAGTTTCATTAAAATTCGACAATTATTTGATTTTTACAAGAATTTCCAAATCACTGGGTTTTTTTTTTCACTGCAAAAAGACGCTAACATTTCCTATACTAATTTATGATCACCCGCTGATACAAGAAAAAACATTTTAACCAAAATGTTGAAGGTTCTAAAAAGGATTTGCCGTGACGATAACTGTTACACTATCCACACTGTTATTAATACTGAATAGTAAGAGATTGGTGGGTAAACAAAACAATAAAATTATAACATCCAGTTCAAATCCCATCCAGGCAAGAAGACTGGATTTAGTTGTTGTGAACAGAAAAACAACAAGCTGATCTTAGACTTGGTTTTGCAGCCAGAGATCAAAAAGTGAATATGAAAGATACGAAAGAAAATAAACAAAACACGACGATACTGATACGGTTTTTGGGCTGCGTACTTGGAATCATGCCAAAAACACTAGAAACGAGTTGAAGGAAATGAGACTGTACAGATCACAGCTGTGCTATGGTCTGCCAAAATTCTGGGGAGAGTGCTGAAGATCTGAGGAAACTTATTGTTCATTGCCCAGTGACAGCTCCTTGGTACTTGGCGTGAACACTGAATTGCATGAAATGATAAAAATGATTCTATTTTGTTTACATAACTATTGGTTGCAAACAAAATCAACACAGCGTATAAAGGCGAAAAGTTAATAAGCTGGCAAGATTTTACTAATAATAATTGTTGATATCAATCTGTTTAAAGAGTTAATTAATTACGTATTTCTTACAGTTTACTGTTCGAGTTCAGATTCTAATGTTCATTTTCACCATAAGCAAGTCATACATAGATGAACAAATTGATGCAACACAATCCTTCTGAATCAATTCTAATCTAATTTGATCTTGAGATATACTAAGTTACGCTTAGTAAATATAAATAACCGTTGAAGCTAAAGTAAATATTTATACACTTCAACAAGATATTACTGTAATGACAAAAGTATGCAGGCGTAGGCTTTAAGAAAGCTTTATTCAACTGAGAATACAAGGTTCGCGTATAATGTCCTTTTATAGTCCTAGTAAACAGAAATAACTCTCTCGGAGAGGAGTGTAATAAAACAAGGGGAGACCACTCTTGATTATTCATAACAATTATTTCATATAAAAATGAATATAGTTTTAGTTATATCAATTACACAATGTACGTTTATTTAGATATAAACAACTTCAAACCTAAATAGACAAAGTTGACTTCAGATTGACGCTAAAGAATAACATAATCATATTTGATTACATAGATTTAATATCAAGAAAGCATTTAGGAACCAGATCAATTATATCAATGACACTCACCACTCATTCATGTTGGACACTGAAATCTTTCATTATAGGTTAATACTGCGTTACTGGATTATGCATATCTTTAACCTTACGTAATTACGACTTGGCAATGATGTGGTTCGACTGAATTTGTTCTTTTGAAATATAAAATAATGAAGGAATAAATCAAAATAAATCATATTAATGATAAACACTTTAAATACTTATTTATTCATTATTTCCATTTAGAATGCATGAAAAATTCTAATTTTGTATTCGGTTTCCTTTATTTTTAATTATTAAAGACGTTATTGCCCAGAAAGCTAAAGTTCATTTATTTTTCTTTACATTACTAAAAGTTTTTAAGACATTTTTATGTTTATACATTCTTTTTATTGATACAAATATTTAAGTAAATGCTCTGTTTATAATCTATAAAAAAAATGTATAAACATAAAAATGTCTTAAAATAATTGTCGGACCTTGTCTATTTCATAATGTATTACTAAAAGTCTTTCCATTTCTTCAAAAAATAACTGCAATAACAAAAATATTCTCCCTTTAATGTCTTTTATAGTAACATACAGCGATTTAGTATTTTGCACTATCATTCATAACATTGTGTTTCTACTATGCTATATTGTCATTACCAAAATGTCGCAGTAGAACCATGGTATATATGTATACACAACATTCATAATGATGTCGGGCAACTATCCTATGATGTATGTTTAATAGGAGTAGATAGGTTCGCCTATCGTCCGGTTCACATTCCTCTTCAGTCTTTTGAACAAAAGTAGAGATTTATCCCTTGTTTCCTGCTTAGGATTAGTTTTTCGGTTCCTTGAAATGTCTTCTCATTCTCTTTCACCCCCAGTAGCCCCTTGCATCTTAATAGCATTATCACTTAGCTTGGGGTGAATTGATTAAAAAAAGCTATCACCAACGTCCATAATTACATACCAAGATCGGCTGAGTCTCTCTAAATTTATACTAAATCGAAACCAGCAAAGCGATCTAGCTTGTTTGCAACCACTCTACACAAAACTTATCAAAGTATTACTTATACGAGGATGAATCAATAATTGCGTAGCCTAAAACAGTTATTAGCTAAATTTTGATCTGAAATGTTCGATTTATGTGATTATTGGAAAAGCGTTGGAATAAGTGCATTGACAAGAAAGAAACTTGTTAAAAATGTTTTGTAAAATTATTTTTTTCATCATTTGGCTACGAACTTATTCATATAATTACGTACTTTTGACGATGCAGTACAACCAGTTTGTGTTGAATCCCATGTCCTTTCAAGCGATTATGGCTCTCCACAGATTCCTCTTTTCTATTATCTGGGAATTTCCATGTTTTTTTTTTTTTTGGGGGGCAGGGAAGTGTTTTCTTGTTACTTTCTTCACGGTTCAGAGTTCTCCCAATCCTAGAGTCGTTGCCACCCAATCCTACGGAGATCGGACCATTTTGCTATTTAACCTATAGCTAGTGGGGGGAGAGGTGGATTCATGCCTTTCTCCAAAGATATTCGTGCGAAAGTGAAAGCAACAGACTGTACTGAAATTTAAACTCACATTGACGATAACCGTCGCACTACCCGCTCAACTAGCTAGCCTACTTTTTTTTTTTTAAACATGGCAACTGAATTCAAATGCTTTAATAAACTGCTGGATAAATGCTTGAGGCGCTAAAAATATTGCTCCATTTTGTCATTTTTATTTATTTTATTAAAAATCTGCTTAAAAAAAATTGTAAGAAAATAAAATAAGAATCGATAGTCTTTTGCATCGAATTGTACGATTTTGTAATGAATGGATTGGGGTCCAAGTTCGGCTGACTAAACGAATGATGACACCTGCCGCTCATACAGAACGTCATTTCTGAAGCATCTTCGTTTCCTTTTATCGAACTCGAAAGAAGCTAAGAGATAACGGTTGGTTGGTTGCTTGGAGTTAGCGGGTTGCAGTATAGTGAGGGAGAAAGTTCGAACCGGAATAAAGACGCAGGTGAGTCGCTTGTATTGATCACGTGAATATTTAACGATGTGTCGAGTTCGCTAACCCCCTACCCCGCCACTTAGCGTTGTCATTATTTTTATTTCGTTCTACAGCCACCCCACTAACATTCTCTGTGTGTAGCGCTCGACTTGCTCCCCCCTTCGCGCCTGACTCTATATTGCACTCTTTTTCTCTTTCTTTATTTATTCTATCTTTCTCATTCAGCACTTTTTTCTTCTTCTTTTTTTTTTACTACTACACATCAACATTTCTTTCTCTGTGTTATATTGTCTACACTTTTGAATTCCTCGTATACATCTCTCTTTACCCACTCTTTCTACACGCTCTTTATTTTCTCTCCTTTCCATCACACCCTTTATCCCCCTCCCCGAACTTTTTCTCTCCATATCCGTCAAGTAAGAGTATTTCCCGTAACTTGTATGTTTTTTTAATTAAATAAAATTTTGCTTAATAGTTACATTCATATTTCACGAGACTTTTCTTTCTCATACTATTTTTATTAGTTTCCCCCTCTCTCTTTGTGTGTGTATCTATCTATCTATCTATATCTAAAATTGTAATTTATCTATCTATTTATCTATTTAAAACTGTAATCTAAGAATTGCTCCATCTGTCTATCCATCTATCTATCTATCTATCTACCTCTCTCTAAGACATTAATCTATCTATTTAAAACTGTAATCCGTCTATCTATCTATCTATCTATCTATCTATCTATCTACCTCTCTCTGTCTAAGACAATCTATCTATCTAAATCTGTAATCTATCTATTTATCTATCTATCTAATAATGTAATCTATCTATCTCTTCCTAACTCATATACTTGCTCCCTCCCTCTATTTATCGATTTATTTATCTCTCATAAAACAAATTGTTTTCGACTGTACTTTCTCTCTATTTATTTCTGCCTATTCCTCTTTTTTTTAATCCCCTCCTTTCGCTTAACTTTTTCCTTCAGATTTTTCTTATTCTTCTACTCTCAAATGTCCCCGTTCTATTTTCCTCTCTCACTCCTTCATTTATTCCAAAGACAGTTTTTCATTATTTATTTTTCACTTCTCCTCCTCTCATACTCTTACTTTCATGTTCTTCGTTTCTTTTTTCATACCCATTATTCTGTCAAAAGCTCCTTTTGTCATGTTTTCTTTTCTTCCTCTCATTTCACTTTTCTATCGCGTCTTTTTCTTGCTTCCTCTCAAGTACATACACAGAGACAGTTAACGCGTACGCAAGCACCCACCCATTCTCTGTTACTTTCATATTGAATTTTTCCGTCACCGAACATTCTCATTTCTTCTTCCGCTCAGAATTCCTCGCTGATACTCACTTAATACAACTCGGCTCAACTCGCAATTCAACTTCTACTTTCACTTTCGCTTTTAACTTACCAACTTGATCCTGCCTAGTGTTCTGATCCATCGCCCTCACTATTTCATAATTCGATCGATTCAATGCTGACTGTGCAGAGTAGCGCGCTCAACGGAAAAAGCGTAGAATAAAGAATAAAGAAAAAAAAGAAATTATAAATTAGAGAGAAAGAATAAGAAAAGCGGTGAAGCTCAAATTACTGGAGGTGGGTGGGCTAACTAGCATGTTGCAAACGGCAGCTTATGGTACAAGGATGGGGTAAAAATAGGGATTTGTCTTTTGAAAAAGAAATGTCGAAAAAATCATCAAAATATAATCACATAAGACTTTTGCTTCGTTTTATTTATCTAAACGCATAAAATCAACATTATTTTTATTTTTTTTTTTTGGTGGGGAGGGGTTATCGTTGGTTTTATAAGTGTACAAAAGTACTAAATACAAGTAAACAGACAGCGCACTTAAAAAAAAATGTGCGCTTTCTAAGAACGAATCATCTGCCCATTTTTAATTACAGAGATTTTTCTAAAATCGAACGTCGACAACTGGAACCGGAGATAAGTTATTCTTTCTTCACTCACGAGGTTTATCAGGTTGAGAAAAAAAGCCGAGAGAAAGAGGGAGAAAGAAGAGAGTGCGAGAAAAAAACAGAAAGAAAGAACAAGTAAAGATAGAGATAAAGAGGGGAGGAAAAGAGAGCAGAGAAAGAGAGAGTGGTGAAAAAAGAAGGGGAGTGGGGGAGATAAATAACGAGAAAGAAAAAGAGAGGGAGTAGAAAGAAAGTGAAAGATAAATAGCGAGAAAGAAAAAAGAAGGCATAGAGGGATCAGAAAAAGAAAGAGTGAGGATCTTAAATGGGTATCTTGATATTACAATTATACTAAATATGTCGCCAGGCAGAAGGTTGGGAAATTGTGTGACGCAAATCATTCAATTGGAGAGCTTGTCTACGATGAAAATCGGCAGCTGCTCATATAAATAGATTACTTGTGTATCGAAAGTTTTGATTGGACTCAAAATTGATTCTATAAAAAATGTTCACCATCTCAACCACAAAGTAATCTCCGTTCGCAGATAGATATTTTCAACAAATTTAACGAAAATTTAACTCGTAAAATTAGGAATTGCTGAGGCTTCACCGTAACCCCTAAACATAAAGTATTTCATAAGACGAAAATTTATTTGAGTAAAAAACAACTTAAAAACAAAGGGTAAAGTAATGTGTAAAACATCAGGTAGAATATATCTGTAAAAGGACAATATCAATGAAGAAAAAGGAAAACTTATTTTAGTCGACGCTTTTCGTCCACTGAGTGACTTTATCAAGGCAAATGCAAGCAATGTGTGTCGTTCTGATAAGTTTAGAAAATGTACTTTACAAATGATTAGTTACCTAAGTTTTCTTGAAAGCCAACTTTTAATATAATAAATTTATTATTAATTATGTAAAAATGCACATTTGCACTGACATATTTACTTAATGGATATTTTCGTATTTTAGTGAGCTATATTTTACAGAATATCATAACGAATGAAGTGAAATTGTTTCCAACTTAGCTTGCTCAATGAGATGTATTATTACAAACTACGGGTTTGCGATTATAAATATCCTTCTTTAGAAATTAAAATGCCTTAAATCTAACACTTATCTATTAAATTTTACCTTAAAGCCAGAATAAGCTGTAAAAAACAAACACACTTGCAATAACTCGAAATACTCTTGCTTTCACAATTATGATTTGTTAGAATGCCTATTGAAATGTTTTAGTGGCAATAATTGAGATACTGAATATGAAAATTAATGAAATAAGCCCTTTAGAACGCAGACAAACATTAACATAAGTTATCAGAAGTGTCAAAGTTTTAGACCAAGGTGAATGCGAGACTCATCAAAGAAAATATTAGCAGTAGATTCTAGCACTCATGAATCTTCAACATTACTAAGTTTTAGTAAATCTTATCAGATACTATACCGTTGTAGTCAATAAGTGAATAAATGTTCAATCGACTTATCCCTTGACCGACTCTAAAGCTGTTAAAATATCCAATTCTTTTATATAATAACAAGTTTAGATAGATATGAATAGACTGATAGATAGATATGAATAGACTGATAGATAGATATGAATAGACTGATAGATAGATAGATATGAATAGACTAATAGATAGATAGATATGAATAGACTGATAGATAGATATGAATAGACTAATAGATAGATATGAATAGACTAATAGATAGATATGAATAGACTGATAGATAGATAGATAGATAGATAGATATGAATAGACTAATAGATAGATAGCAATAGACAGATATGAATAGACTAATAGATAGATATGAATAGACTGATAGATAGATAGATATGAATAGACTAATAGATAGATATGAATAGACTGATAGATAGATAGATAGATAGATAGATATGAATAGACAGATAGATAGATAGATATGAATAGACTAATAGATAGATAGGAATAGACAGATATGAATAGACTAATAGATAGATATGAATAGACTGATAGATAGATAGATATGAATAGACTAATAGATAGATATGAATAGACTGATAGATAGATAGATAGATAGATATGAATAGACTGATAGATAGATATGAATAGACTGATAGATAGATAGATAGATAGATAGATATGAATAGACAGATAGATAGATAGATAGATAGATATGAATAGACAGATAGATAGATAGATATGAATAGACTAATAGATAGATATGAATAGACTGATAGATAGATAGATAGATAGATATGAATAGACAGATAGATAGATAGATATGAATAGACTAATAGATAGATAGGAATAGACAGATATGAATAGACTAATAGATAGATATGAATAGACTGATAGATAGATAGATAGATATGAATAGACTAATAGATAGATATGAATAGACTGATAGATAGATATGAATAGACTGATAGATAGATATGAATAGACTGATAGATAGATAGATATGAATAGACTAATAGATAGATATGAATAGACTGATAGATAGATAGATAGATAGATATGAATAGACTGATAGATAGATATGAATAGACTGATAGATAGATAGATAGATAGATATGAATAGACAGATAGATAGATAGATATGAATAGACTAATAGATAGATATGAATAGACAGATAAATAGATATGAATAGAATAATAGATAGATCTGAATAGACTATCAGTATGATATTACAATTTTGTGCCCCAATTTTTCCCTTTCATTTATTTCCACGGAAAACAATATTGAAATTTTATTGAAATTTTATCAGTGTCAATCATTTGAAAAATTTTCATTCATGATGGAAGTAAATTTAATCGATAGAAAAAGTTAAATATTTTGACATGAATATATCTTCCTTTTACATGGTTATTTTTAATACATGTTTTTTTTTATTTGGTAAATCTTTAATTTGTATTACAGTGTACAAGATGGCAAAAATTCTTATTTAAAAACTGTATCAAACTGTTTTACTATCAATGTTCAAAGTTTCCTCCCTGTGATCAATAGGCTATTGCAGTCGAACGGATACACACACTCGCAGAATTTGAAATAAGCGTTTTGATATTTCAATTTCTGAATGGTACGAAGCTGTTCCCGATAAACAAGGACTTTCATCATGTCTGGAGAACGCACTGGCCACTCATTAGGACTGCGGCGTCCGATGCACTTACTGAGAAAATTTTCAAGTTACTTACGAACGTGATGTCCACAATGAGGTGGAGGTCCATCTTGCTGGAAATAAGTCCTGGTATAGTATTCTAAGACAGAATCTTGCCACTACTTTCGACTAACCCTGTATATATGCATAGAAAATTGTCTTATTGACGACATAGAGTAAGTGATAGCAATTCCTTCTCTGGTCGAGTTCAAATTTAGGTAGCTTCCGCTCTTGTCACTTCGGTGCCAAAATCTACAAAAAAGGCAGTATAATGATCCTCCCTGAACAGAAGTGCATCACTAGTTACCTTGCAGTAGATTGTCAGTAGTATAATGATTAATGTACTTGATATATATTGTTAAAATAGATGTAATTATGTTCAAAATCGTGCACAAATAATATTCAATGTACGGTATATACATTTTACCAATATAAATCAAATTATTGAATTCTACTGCGTTGTAAATATTTAGGTACATCAATATGTCCGGAGACTAACGATGGAAAAGTTATATAAATATCTATGACACAACTTTCTTTCTTTCTTGATGTAATTAACCCAACGCTTCACCATTCATAACAGATTGAATGGGCACCTGAACGTGATGTAATAGTTAGCAGGCTTTTCTCGCTAGAACAATTACGAGTAGTGAGTTCGATCCTCACTGTGTACCCCATACTTTCCATGATTAGAAAATCAGCATAACGTCGTTCGAACATTAAACATTGCCTTGTTAAAATGCCTCAGAAGATGAAACACGTCGGCTAAGATAAGTTATCCTTTATTCATATTGTCTATTTATACTATATCTGAAATGTCACAAACAAATCCACACACACACATATATATATATATATATATATATATATATATATATATATATATATATATATATATACTGACTTTCTCATCGAATGAGGGTCAAGCAGATCAGTTCCCAGGAAACCGACAGCCCGACAACAGCACATGAGATTTGTTTATAGTGGTGAAGGTTTCGTGCTGGACCATCCACACTTTTTGAAGGGCCGAATACAGAGACCTGGTACACTACGTGCCACAAGGTACCCAAACGACCATCCGAAGGTTTTGAATTCAGAGTTGTCCTTCTCCTAGACCAATTGCCATCCAAGGCTATAGAACCCAGTCTGTTCTGCTATTTACCCATAGCTGGCGGGAGAAGAAGAGAATTCACACCTTTCCCAAGGGTATTAGCACGTAAATTCCAGTCGAATATATATATATATATATATATATATATATATATATATATATATATATATATATAATGCATTTGAATTTTGCGTATGTATATATACAAGAGTGGATTTATTTTATACTTATTTTTTTATACTGACGTATGTATATTTACAAGACAGGCGTGTTTCTTTTAGGTCAGCAATGTTCCATTGAATACACTTATTTATTTATTTAAGCGCTTACTTCATCTGCTTATTTAAGCATCTGAGTTGTTTTTCCTTCGTTAGATATATGCAATTTTTTTTTCGCTTTTTAATTGCGTAAGTATCTTTATTTAGCTGAAGTCTACGTACATTTATTTCAAGACGAAGCAAAATTTAAGTTTGAGTTGATCAACGGTTATCAACACAGACAGGAGAATTGGCGAAATTGTTTCACAACACACCCTAGTCTCCTCTACACAGAAACACGAAACCTAACTCTTTTGACAAAGCGACACTGTGCCAATCTTCCATGACCCGAATGGTGATATTCTTTAATTAAAGTCAAACGCAGTAACCGATGCCGTGGTATCAATAATGGTACTCTTGTTCGTTCATGGCCACGAAACATGGAATGCAGTATTCACTGAACTGATACGTAATTTGATATAATGTTCACTTTTGTTGAGTGGTTACCATTTTTATCTGTCGTCGACGTTCCTATTTCTGTATAACATGTGAGCGCCCGCATTTCCTATGTGCTACTGGTGTCTATTCGTAATACACATATTCCTGGTATATTCTTGTTACTGTCACCCGAACAAAACTTAGAGCACTTTCTATCTCGCATTCTTCTGGTCATAATATCATCATTTTACGGTTAAGCGATGTTAAATTATATCTGTCACAGCTAAATTACTTCTTTACCTATTACGTCACGCCTACGTCATACAGACGTCATCTGGGTCTATTCCTACGAATACGGTTATGTGCAAAACAAAATATAGAGAAATTTATTTACTGAAAAAAAAGTTTGAACAAAGTAACTATAAACAACATTTTTCTATCCTCTGCCAACCGCAATGACGGAGAAAGCATTACTATCTAGTGTACTGCTGTCTCTAACTTTTGAGCATAATCAGTTTCTGTCGAATGATAAAATATATTTGATCACATCCACAAAGATTCAAACATATTACATACTAAACTGAACTTAATTCAATGCAAAACAGAAGAAAGAAAACTACATTATCGTGATGGAAGATTTTCCCCTCTTTTTTGACTAAGGATGGATGATTTCTGCCCAGAACTCCTTACAAACGACGAAATTTCTGGTAATAGAGATCAGCTTTGATTGTTTGATTATTGTTTAACAGTTCATAACGGGTGATTCCTTGAATATCCTACTATACACTCAACGAGATATTCCTTTGATGAATTTCTCTCGCTTGCTGAACGAGTCTGTTTCCTCAACTGATTCACTGATGATTACACTTAACATTATGGTAAAGGATCCATTTCTCATTTCCAATAACAAGAGGCTTACGGCCATATCACGTTAAAACACCAGTTATCGTCCGATCACCGAAGTTAACCAAAGTCGAAATTAGTCAGTACCTAGATGAGTGACCGCTTGTGAATACCAGGTGCTGTAAGCTTCGATGTACGGGTGTTGTAATGGATAACGGCTCGAAATTGGAACTCGGCTATCCGAGTTCCAATTCCAGTCAGATTCATTATAGTCACTTACGCGAAAATATCATTGGGGAAGGTATGAATCACCCTCTTCGCCGCTCAGCTATGGGTTAATTAGCATGTCTTGTATTAGTAAATCATAATTATCTCCAAAGAATGTTTACAATCTAAAAATATTTCCTGACTTTAAATAACCTGCAAAAGGTTGATAAGCTGTAAGAAACAATCAATAAAATCTAGTAACAATCCTGTCCGAAAAGGTCACTTGAAGTTGTTGTGTAAGCAATGACTCGCAACAATCGAAATGCTGTTTGGCGATTCTCTGGAGAAAATATGAAGGACTCATTTTACAACCACTGAAGCCTTTTCAATCATTTTCAATTCACTTTGTACTGTCGGATGACGAGCATTAAATTTCTCTGTTGTAGTGGTGGAATTTAATGTAACAGCAGCTTCCATATCAACTTAATCGAATACTTTTGAACAAAACTTACATTGCTCGTTCTCTAGACTAAAATTCTTAGTTTTGAAACGGAAGAAGCACCTCCTGCAACTTCTTTCACTCAAAGTATCGACCCCATAAGCGCGTGGGATGGATTTTACTGCTGTACTTGAGTTGACACCTTTATGAAACTCACAGAGTACATTTCTAATGTATATTTTTGTTGGAACGAACGTAGTGGCAAATTCCGGACTATGAATAATATTCTTATAATCTGAAAGAAAAATATATAAACTCATAAGTATCATCACTAAGCAAAATAAAGAAGCTATTTAATAAAGTTCCTTCAAAATTTTCACCTCAGAAATAGGACAGAATTTTCATTCCTACCTAATAATTGTTTAATACATTATTACTTCTTATTATTAATTACTTCTGTTCTGATATCAGCAAGTCATAGATTCTATTTCTAGTTTAATTGCATTTGTTAATTTACTGGATTCGGTTATATAAATTCTTGCATTTTGAGCATCGTATTTTGCAAATGAAATCAATGACTTATCACTCAGGCTGCAGGTGTGGGCGAATAAAAACGTACTTTATTTTTCACAAAGTCCACATAGACATACGCTCACACACAAATATTATAGATAGATAGAGTAACTATAAAATAAGCACAATACATAACATGTGCTTATATATATATGTGTGTGTGTGTGTGTGTGTGTGTGTGTGTGCGTGCTCTCTTTATTAATGATTGAGCCCTGTAGAGAAATGCTAATTTTAAAAACGGTCGCTGCTATTAATGCATTGCTCTTCAGTTACGAATTGAGCGCTATTGGCTACTGGTGTTTGCATGCATCGCGTATATACACGCTGCGAAACAGGCTTGTATGTGGATTATATATATATATAATAAACGTAGCAATAGTAAACATCCTGCAGAGTATTTAAGTAGATGCCCTGCATATTTTTTAATTCTCGAATGCACAGATTGATAGATGTAATACACACTATTTAAATAATACATAAATAAAATTTAAATAATCTACTCAAACATGTGTATCCACTAAAATATGATGTTTAAATAGTAAGAAATATCGTCAGATTAAAAATAAAAAACAATTGCTTTTCGTTGCATTAGAGCAGCACAGATGAACCGAATGGAATGTACTTCATATTTTTACCACTACACTTTGTGAGCAGTACGTTTGTGCAAACCGGGACGTGCGCGATCGTGGCTTACCACAAGCATAAGCACATTAAATCTGAACATACAAATATGAAAATATATAACAAAGAGGAATGTGAATATATAGATATATCCAGGCTGAAATACACCGAATACACATCAAAAATCACCTGTCATATATTCATTATATAAACAAATGAGGACGTTATAAGAACAGTACTCGATGGCTCGATGTAATATATTAATTCAAGATATACATGAAGATATATCGCTATTAAATATTTCCATTGACGAAAATACTATCGTTTACTATCAAGTAGTGACACTGAATGACTGAAAGATTATGTTATATATATGTATGTATGTATCTATGTATAAATAAAAAAAATTCAATTTATTTGTATATCAAAATTAACATTTTTACTAAATATATTTGGATGGAACCTATCTCTAATTTTCATATGTACACTGCATGTTTTTTGCACGTTCGTCTCTGGAACGTATCTCAGTGCAAAAAGAGAATTGAGTGTATATAAAAACAATACTCAAATATTAGTGTTTTCTCTCGCTTTAAAGTTTCATGTGGACGCACGGTTTGTGATACGGTGGTCTCACGATCTTCAGATGATTCAAAAAATAAGGCACTCAATTCTTTCTTTGTCTTTCTTTCTCTCTCACTGTCTGTATATATATATATATATATATATATATATATATATATATGACAAAAGGAAAACTTATCTTAGCTGATTTGTCTTGTTAAAGTCCCTAGGAGGACGAAACGTGTCGGCTAAGTTTTTCTTTGTCTTCTTATATATTGTCCTTTTACAGATATACTCTATCTGAAATGTTCATACAAACACACACACACACACATATCATAGTTAGATAGTCTCAGTCCGCCATCTTTATAGAGTAGAGCAATTTAAGTCTGCCATCTTTAATAGAGTTGGGCAATAGTGACATCAACTAAATTGCATCATTTTTCTTCAAATTTTTACCTTGCATTAAATATGTGTTCCTAAGGCGATAATTCAAATACATAATAGCAAAAGTGGTTTATGCTGTTAACATCAGTGAAAATTTCACTTGATTCAAAACGTAAACCTTTAAGAAAATATTAATTAAAATTGGTAAAATTAGATATATTTTGTTTATTTATATTTTTAAGTCCTTTTATTTACGTTGTTTTAAATTTATTTCTCGAAATTTGATTGTGCCGTGGACAAGACAATTTTTCAGATGGTCTAATTTACAGCCTTCCTCAGGTGAAAATTCTTTAATTCCTTTTCATGTTCTAATTCTAATCGGCTACATTCACATGAGGAACGTTAGATAATGATGAAACTGAAACATCTTTAAAAATAAAACTGCTTCTTCATCTTACACTCCACTTCAAACGCGTTTTACGAAAAATTATATCTCATGTTTATTGCTAGTAAATACGCTTCTGTTGTAACATTGTGTTACAATAAAGAGGTGTTTACGAGTAATAAACAATGAGTTTATGTTGGTAAGCATCGCCCTAAATTAACTATATATACACATGTGTGTAATTGAATGATAAAATGGAAAAATATATCTAAACTTAATATAATATTTTTTACAACTAAGAGACTTAATTTATACAAAATAAAATAACAACAAAAAAATAACAACAAAAACCTAAAGCATAAATTTACATGATAGACAAGAGATATATAGGTGAAACATTTAGGAATTTAAATAAAAGAATAAATTTAAATAAAAAACACAAAAGGTATTTTTACGAAACAAAACACTCAAAACATTAGTCATTCATTCTAATAAATCAGTCTCTAATTTAGACTTAAAATATGCAGAAAGACAATGTAATTCATTAAGACGAAAATATGCACTAAATTCTGAATCAGTAAATTTACGTCCAGATTCACACAACATGTCATCTTGACAGAACTACTGTTATTACAATTTGGGGCACTTAAAAACAGCGATAGAAATAAACTTAAAAGCGTTCGGAAACTGAATGAGGTCGGCTACGTTGTGCGTGCAGACACGTCTGAAACTAGAAATTAAAATTTTATATTTAAGCAACCTTACATTTCCACCATTTCTCTCGGTGTATAATTATAACTGATATTTGTTGTGTTTCGTTTCATCCTACCACATATATATGATTCCAGTAATAAAACCATTATTTAATCTAGAGAAATCATTTCGAAGATCGAAACGCATCACATAAAGTTTTTTTTCTTTTTTATTTTGTCATTCCCACCATTAGAGTCTGATATGTAGCGTTTATATACCGTATTTACGTGTGTGTTGAAGTAAAAGCGGAGTGAAGAGAGAGGGGGGAGAGAAGAGAAGAAAGAGGAAAGACATTGAAAATAGAAATAGCACTGATTTCAAAATTTATTGAGAGGTGAATGGATTGATTATTTGATTGTTGAATTGGTAGAGATGGATTGAAAACCAGTGTAAAAGTGAGAAAGTATGCGATGTTTGGAGGCAACTCGATACACTGAAGCCTAAAAGACACATGAAAAAAAACTTACAAGCATTTGTCTTGTTTTTTTTTTTGGGGGGTTGTTTTTTTTTCCATTTACTTCATTGTCGCGTTATCTCAGCAAATCTCTCGTTTGATTGTTGGGAAGCGGCGCTTCTACGAAATACAAATAACTGCCAGGTGTCAGCTTACCTTACCCAACATCATGGTTTCCTTTTTTGTCATTTTACAGCTAGGCTGTCGATTAAGCAGCGAATAATTTTATATGTATCAGAACTAAAATTGTTCTGAAAGAAACACTGATAGTATCACTTATTTTTTTCTATCTTTTTTATGGGATTGCCTTTTGTGTGTTCGCCTGCGTCAGAGAGAAGTGTTTACGATGAGATTCACGTGAGACAGTGTTTTTTTTTTTTTTATATTTATTTTTAGGTAAACTTCGCGGCAAAATTGCATTCGTACATGAATTTCTTTGAATTTGAATATAAGAGATCTGTTCCAAAAGTGTCCAGCCATTTTGAATATCTCAACAACCGGCTCCATGAACTTGATGTAACTTGGCAACCGATCAAAAGCCACTGTGTATGAACAGACACTCTCCTGTGGGGTTAGTCAGTTGACAATGTGTCGCCACTAAATGGCTTTATGTACTGTGACCGTTGCATGCACAAGCTTGTCTCCCACAGATATTTTTTTTTTAATATCACATATCACATCACTAAAATGTCTGGGCGCGATTAAGGATAACGTAACGAGACAACTTATGAGAATCCTGAATCAGGACCTTACATACTATTTTGAAATGTGAAAGCAACTCTGAAATAAGGGTATGAGCTTCCAAG